TTAAATTAAGTCAAAAACTTAAGAAAAATATTAAACTTTGTATCATACAAAATAGAACTCAAATTTTCTTTTACAAGCGGTATAAATTAAATAGAATTCAGAAAAATAATACTTCAAACAGAGTCCTTCAGCAGGCGTGCCTTCTCCCAATCACAGAGTTCAACACTCTTAAGGAAAATCCTCTGCTGAAAGTGCTTCGGTGTGAGGCGAGTTGAATTATCATCCATTATTTCCCCTGCTGTAGAGAAAAATCTCTCGCTAGGTACGGACCCAGCCATTACATTCAGTAGCCTGCGGGCAACTCTGTAGAGGTGTGGGTACGTTGATTTTAGTGCCTCCCAAATCTGAAGCGGGTTTTCAGTCACGGGGACGATGTTTCGCTGTAGATAACTTCTCAGCTCCGTCACAGCACGGCCGTTGATGTCATCACTGTTAGCGGATACGCGAGAAGCTGCCAGTTGAGCGTGAGAGCTCCAGAGCCGAGAGGGAGCGGGCGCACCTGCACTGACTGCTCCCGCGCCGCTGCCAACGTTGGCATTCCCTGCAATAGAGAAACGCGAATTATAGAAATCTAGCTCAATGGGAAGATGTTAGGTCTCTCGGAAACAGGCGTGTAATACTGTACCTTGTGTGGCGTTAGTATGAGAGTGCTCGGGCTCGGAGGAATCCATAATAATTTCCTTGACGATTTCAGCCTCGAGATATTTTCTTGCTTTCGAGACCGCCAGGGGGCTTTGAAAGTAGACCTCCATGAAACGAGGGTCCACAATAGTAGAAGCCGCCTGCCGTGCATTGTGCTCGCAATTGCCGAACCGCCGGACAGTTTCATCCAGAATGAACTGTTTGAACCTCTTGGCCATGGCATCTGTTGGATCGACGGCGACGTTGTGAACTGCCTGCAAAACGAAAACCGATTAAATAAGCACGATAATATATACATATATAACAATTTGTATCCTGGGACAAAACTATAAGGCTACTGCGTGTCTAATAAAAAATATAAATTTACAGTTTTTTTTACCTTAGAAAGTAAGGCCACAAGCGGGATCACTTTGCTGATACTTGTGCTAGTCTCCGTGCTCATTTCAGTCGTTGCGTCATGAATGGGTTCAAGCACGCCCATAATGGCTTTCAGGGAAGCAAGCTCGGCCGCGTTAAGCATGACTACGGCGGGGAACTTGGATGTAGCAAGAAGCAATACGCGCTGCATTTCTAAGAACCTCTTCAGCATCATGTAGGTGGACCCCCAGCGGGTAACGACATCGTTAATCAGTCTCAGAGTTAAGTTGGGGTTCTTATCGAAGTGCTCCACCTGGACTCTTCTTATTTCGTCGGCGAAATTGTTGCTAGTGTGTGACAGTGTGACGATCGCCTTGACTTTCTTGATTAGATCGGGGACGCCGGGTACGTTTGGGGTAGTATTATCTGACTTCATGCCAAGCGCCGCTCTAGGTATTAAGTTCAATGTATGGGCAAAGCAATTCACAAGTTTAGATTCACCAAAGGCGGTTTTAACGGCCAGCTTGATATTTTCTGCATTATCAACAGTGACAGCCTCCACCTTAAGCGTGTCTATGTGCCAGTCCCCGCAGAATTCTAAAAGCTTTCCAGATAAGTACTGTCCTGTGTGTGATTGGTCAAGCTTCATTAGGCCAATGCAAGCAGCGCGCATTTCGGTCTTCACCGGGAAATGGACGGTCACGCCGAGATAACTTTGAGTGGTGTGCTTCTCTGTCCAGCAGTCAGCTGTGAGGCACACTGTAGAGAGTTCCTCCATAATATCCTTGACGAAGACTGAGAGCACCTCGTACTTATCCTCCATAGCTCTTGTCATCGTGCGGCGGGAAGGGGGTGACCAGAGTGGGACTGCCTTGCTCGCAAAGTGACGAAATCCCTCGCCGTCAGAAAAAGACAGGGGGAGATTTTGCCGCATTTCCATGAAGAGAAGGGCATCGCGGAGGGTCGCGTCCATCTCGCCACCAGCTGGAAACAGAAAGGGCGTCAATACAGTGTTTGCGATATTGTGACATCACCGCCGCGGAGATAGGCAAGCCAACCAACCGAGAGCGGGGAGTGGGGATTCCCCTCCCCGTGGTAGCAGCCAACTGATTCTCAACACCGCTCTCATGCATGCGGCTGTCCATGTCACACTCATAGAGCAACCCCAACCCAGATGGGACGCCTTCGTGGGTGTGACAAATACAGGGCCAGGAGCGATGTAATGTTCTGATTCAGTCGGCAGCGGCAGCGGCCGCGGCCCGGCGGCCGACCCCTCGGGCTGTGTCGCCCCACGCCCCGCCCCGCCCCGGACCCCAACACGGCGCAATGCGAAAAAACAGGATTTTGAGCGATTGCTAATTTACCTTTGAAAGATGATGCCCGCTGTAGACTTCCATCTATGGTCATTTGTTGTCCACCGCTAAAACTCCTACTTCCACTTCTTCGTGGCCGCTTGCCGCCGGCGGCAGCCCCAACATCGGACAGCCTTGGAAGCTGGAGATCTCGCGCCCCTGACGCTGGAGCTGCAGTGTCGGCTGTTGCATTCTCCTGCGGCGAATATTAAAAGTTTAAAACCATGTGTTGTTAGGATATGAGACAGCCCATGGATGAAAAAAGTGTCAGAGATGTCATTAGAAATCAATGGAGTCATAAGGACACCATTCCTCTGTCATTTTATCGAAATTTGTAGTCATATTTGTGTAGAAATTCCTTCAAATTAAGCACCCTGATGTCAAATGACAGTATTTGCCCATTCATCTGTTCCCTGGAGTAGCAGCAGGGGCAAGGGTAGCTGGACATGGTAGTGAAAGTCGAACCGACGAAACTAACCTCAAAGCACTCCTCTGCTTGTTCATCGTCGCTGTTTATTACTCGACGCCGACGAGAGGGAGCGTGTGTGCCGGCGCTGGACGAGGCAGAAGCTTCGCTTACACTGTCACTTGCATTAGAAGTTGCACTTGCTCCTGCTGCACTAGGCTGGGTGTGTTTGCGCTTCTGGAGGCTGGTCTCGTCCAAGGCATTCTTCTGCGAGACACCATGTTGAGCGAGATGCGTCCAAGCATTGGAAGTATTCCCGCTGAGCAGCACGTTCTTCCCACATACTTTGCAGTACCCTTCTTTGGATGTATTTCTCACAATATATTTCCACACCGGGCTCTTCGGGGGCGCCATGACGGCAACCAAAACACAAGAATTTTGAGCGCGGACAGCGTAGTAAACAATCGAGCAGCGACAAGCCCGAGCTGGCAACAGCGGGACGGGGAGGGGTGGGGTAGGGACGGCCGACGACGGGCGGCCGAGAGCAAGAATCGAGCCAGCCGAGCCGGGAGTGAGTTCAGTTTGGCTGGCGCGACCGTTGGCGTTGGCCGCGTATCTTATCTCCGTCATTTGTGTTAGGTTCAGGGCAAATTATACCTTTATTATAACGTACGATATTTTCATCCGATATCGGACCGAATCTTTCGATACTGCCAAATATCGCTCTGTTTAATATCGATACAAAATATCGATATATCGTCTGCAAACTATCGATGGTGTTCGATATCGATACACTATCGCCCACCCCTACCGGGCAGGACCTCGGGGAGCGGCCGGTGGAGGGGAGGTGCAGTCTCTGCAGCGGGTGCGACAAGGAAGGAGCGACCCGACCCACAGCTCGCTCGCTGCGCCCGCCCGGCCTGGCCAGGCACGAAAAAAATGCTCCGGGGTGGGAGAGCGAGAGAGAGCGCACTAGCCGGCCAGGAAAAAAAATTGAGTGAGTAATCCGCGTGGGCTCATTCGATGTTTGGCCATCGCTGCGTGCGGACGTGCTGCGCTGCGCTGCGCTCCTCGCCGCCGTACTGGCCCTTGGGCAGCAGACGACTCTGAGGACGCCCGGCGCTACGCACTCAGTGCGTCTTCACGACGGCGCAACAGTTGACAAGGACTTTGCCTCAGGATTACTCTCTGTGTGTGTGCTCAAAGTGATTGTGCAAGCCCCCCAGGATTATTGTGTGCTCTCCGTCCGAGAATATGAGTGACAGTGAAGTGATGTGCAGCGCCAAGCCTTACGGATTATTTTCACTGAATTTTCAGTGAGTTGTGTTTGTGTGTGTGAGTGGTGTGCGTGTGTGATTTCCACCCGCACAATCCGTTCAAGATGAAGCTCATGGCGCACCCGTGCCGTTCTTCCTCCGCCCCTGGATTTCTCGTCAATAGTTACCACCACAACCTGAACAACAACGACGACGATTTGGATATCAAAAGAATGAAGCAGCGCTGGAAAGGTGAGCTTTACAGTGCTTCAAGGGTGTGTGTGCGGGAAACTTCAAGCTCAGTGCCTTCAAATTTAGCTCAAACCTTCATATAGCATAGAAGGATTCCGATTACTTTATTTATTTTTTTGTAGGCCGTTCACGGTTGTTTTTCCGGGAGGTTTTCATTTTTCTTTGTTCGATTCAACGGTCTTTAACGCGATCCCTGAAATTATTCCTGGACATGCGGGGTTACTTTGTTTTTCCTCCGGTTGTATACTGTACTGCGAGCAGACGTGCGGGCGAGTTGCCTATTCGCCCGGCGCAGCTCGACGCGTTGAAGCGATAGGCAGGCCGACCCGCACGCCTGCATGCGGTGGAGTATACCCCAGAAAAGGACGGCGCAAATCAACCCGTCCAGTATAATTTCAGCTCTTCGGATCATCATCTTTATTTCGCGTCACAACCGGGGTGCGAGGACAATATCTTCCGTTTGTTTCGCACCGGGCGCCGCAGAGAGAAGAGGAGAGTTGTTTAGTTCTTGAGAAACTCTGGGCCGGTGGTGTGTGGGAGGGTGCGGGGGTGGTCGGCCAATCAGGGCGAGGAAGTGGCCGAGGGGCACAAATCACGACAGATCAAGTCCAAGAGACGGTTAGCGGAGCGCTCCGGGGGGCGGCGGGCTGGGCCGGCACCAGTAGTAGGGGCTGTGACACTTTTACGCCCCCGAGGAGGAGGCCCTCTCGGCCTTGTGACAAACGGTAATTGTTGGAGCCCTTTGAGGACTTTGCAGGCGGTCGTGTTTGTGTGTATGTGTGTGTGTGTGTATGTGTATGTGTGTATGTGAGTGAGTGTAGGTGTGTTGGCCAGGGGGTTGGCGCTGGTTGAGGCGCCACCGCCGCCACCTCCTCCTCCTCACTGTAGTGCGTGGGTGGCTCATCGCTTACTCCTCCCTCGGCCCTTCTCTTTCTGTTCATGGCATGTTTAGAGCGCCGCCGCCGCTGCTGCTGGCTGCGGCTGTGCCCCCAGCGTTTGTCTCCTGCGCCGCCGCCGCCGTGCTTGCCGCCGTTGCCGCCGCCGCCGCCCGTCGTGGTTTCGGTCCATCCGGGGCGCGCGCGCCGCCCGCTCCGCCCGCGCCGCGCTCATCGGTGGCGGCGGTACGTGTTTAGGCCCCGTAGTGATTGCCTATCCCTGCGGTCGCGCGGCTCCGAGACAAAGGGCCGCGTCGTGTACCGTACCGCACCGGGTGAAGGGCCGCAGCACGGGCACGCCCGGCGGCGTGCGTCCTGCTGGATGAGGGAAATGAGTGAGTGAATGAGTGAGTTTGTGAATGAATGAAGCAAACGAGTGAATGAAAAAGCCTCTCTCTAGACGTCACGGCTCAGCCTAATCGGCCACGTCCGCCTCTCGGCCCGCGCCAGCACGCGTGCTGCCCGCTCCCTCCCTCTCTCTCGCTCTTGTCACTATCCCTTTCTCCATCTCGCTCGCTCTCTCACTCTCTCTCCACCCCGCTGCTTGCCGCGCGCGCCCCTGCTCAGGCTTCGGTTAGTGATTCGCCAGAAGGAGTGCACTACCCTTCACTTGCGGCTGCCGCTTGCGCTTAAGTTTTCGGATTTATCTCCCCCGATCTTGGAGTACGGCGCGGAGGTGTTTTACGCCCTCCTCTTCCCCCCTTCTGCCTCCCCGGCACGCGCCTCATTTCGTATGCGAAGGGTTGTGTGCATGTGTGTGTGTGAGTGCGCTTGCTCGGGACAGGCCGGCCCCGGCCTCGCATGCACCTCGCCGATGACGCGCTGCCGCCGCCACTGCTGCAGCCGAATGAGTAAGGATGCTCCCGCTGCAAGTCTGTTGTTCTAGCAAGGGTGTGTGTTGTAGATGGAGGTAGTCAGTCGGCGGCGTCCCAAAAAAATAAAATTATTAGTGAACCCTTTTTCCGCAGCAAGCGGGTGAGGATGGGATGGGGCGGGGCGGAACCGGAGAGGGGGGCGGGGGGCTCGTGCCCGAATTACACCTCGACGATTACAACCTTCCTCTGCACCTCCACCTCCTCCCCCGCGCCGCGCGCGCAGCCCCGCTCCCCATATGCACCTCATCCGGCCCGCCCATTGGCCGCCGCTGACGACTACATCTACTCGCGTCGTGTCCACCACCGCCCTGCTCGGGCCCGGGCCGCCATCTTAATGAAGGCGATGAATAAATGAGAGCGGCCACCAGGAGGCCCGGCCCGGCGGGCGCATTGTGTGTGCGTTGCGCAAAAGGCTTGTTGGGCTGTTGACCACTACGGAGTGGAGGGAGAGCGAGAGAGAGGGAGAGAGGTCGGGGCCCACGTGACCCGTCGGGCGGCCAATCAAATCGCCGAGCGAGTCGAGCGTCGTCGCCGACCGGGTGCTAATTACGACGCTGGACCTCCCCCCTCGCTGGGCCAAGCCTTGCTTTTCTTCCCTCTCTCTCTCTCTGTCCCTCCTCTTGTGTTCTTCGTCATCTCCGTCCCCCTCGCCTGCTGCTGCTGCTGCTGCTGATGTATCTCGGTTGGTCCGCTTGGCGAGTTACGCGGTTTCCGGCCTGCCTTTGGGTCGGGTATCCGTTGTCCCTTGTCGTTAAGTTTTGTTCGGACCTCCGCGCCGAACAAATCTCGTTGGCCGTAATGACGGCGGTGTGCTTGTGCGGCGGCGTGCCCGGCCACGCCCCGGGGCCGCCACGCAGCGCCACGCCCCGGCCTCCTCGGCCCCTCGGACGGGCACGGCGTCGTCGGCGACGTTGTCGGGGGTTTTGGTTTTGATGTTTCCCTCTTCTGCTCCCCGACCGAAATTACGTTTGCGGTGGAGGCGGCGGTGCGCGGGCGGGCGGCCGGGGCGGGAGAGGGACACAAGTGTCGCCACGGAGTCGACCCGCCTGGGCCCAGCGGCGGCGGCAGGGCCTGCCAAAGCTGCCTCACGGCGAACAACCACAAAGACAACTTAACTCACCGTCATTGGTTGATTGTATTAGAGCGCCACGCCGGGACGTGTGTGAGTGTGTGCGCCCCGCCCCGCCCCGCCCCGCCCCGCCGCGCCCCTCACTGTCCGGAGGGCATCTCTAATCCAATAAGGTGACTTCGAAACAGACGGGGACAGTGGTGGTGCCTGTGACGATCGCGCAAAGTCTCTCCAGCGCGCCCTTCTTTCTTCTTGGCCCTCCTTCGCGCTTCCTCCTTGGTCTCCACCTTTCGGGTGTGTTTCTCCTCCAGCAGCAGTCGTATAGTATACCACAACACACAAACAGCTCTCCTCGCGGAGGGCGCCGCGCGCAGCAGAGCAGCACAGTGGTTACATTTGTCGCATCTTCCAGACGTCCTCGCTACTTTTATCCTCCTCCAACCTCTCTCTGCCCCCGTTTCGCAGTATATTTTCCACCCCCTCTGTGAAATGAATATGTAGACGTCGGGCGCTACTTACCGCATGCGTTTCGTCCGCGTCGCGGTGGCGTGGCGTAGCACCGCGGCGTTGTGTGTGTGTTTTTATTATTGGTGCGTCCGTCATCTCGGTGTGGAGGAGGAGGAGGAGAAGAGGGTGGTTGTGGTGCTCGCGGCGTATGGCACAGTCTGCGTATGGAGGCTGTGCGGCCCAGAGGGTCTCACGTCGTTGTCCTCCTCGGACGGCGAGGCCGGTGGTGGTGTCGGAGAGTGGCGCAGCTGCACGGCCCCCTCCCCTCCTCCCCGTCACCTAGGCCTCTGCTGCTGCTGCGGCGGCCCCTACCACCCTTCCTAGAACCATCTCGTCTCTCCTCCCCCTCCTTCTCCCTTTTACCACCTCATTCACATTCATCCCATGTTGCCAATATTTTAGGTGCACGCGGCCAGCCTCGGCCTCCGGCCCAGCCGTGGCCATCTCCCTCTCCATCTTGCCCCCTTCTTTCTCCCCCTTTTACCGCGGTGCCTCCGCCAACCTCTTCCGCGGGCTGTTTTCCTCCCTTTTCTCCAACACATGCGTCGGGAAAACGCGTGGGTGGGTGTGGAGGGGGTGGCGTGGCCAAGCGTAGCGTGGCCCTCGCATTTTCTCGACTGGCTAGCGTGAGTGAAGTTCGGGCGGGTTTCCTTTCCATTCAAATATCCTTTCCGCCCTTCTTTAATATTATTTTTTCGCCGGTCGTTGGTCATTTATTATCACGACGGGGTTCCTCAATGGAACACACACACGCACGCACACTATCATGTGTTAAAAATATGCATCCCTTCCGAGGGCGAATATAATGCGACCGTGTTGGGGAATCTCACACACAGACAGCAGCGGAACGCGACGAAATATGGATTTTATATGTACAGTTTTTCCCTTTTTCGGCGTGGGCGGGGCGGAGGGGGCGGG